ACCTTTTGTCACGCCTCTCTCTCTCTCTCTCTCTCTTCCTTTTCTATCCTTCCTCCTTTCTCCTTTATCTTCCTTATTCCGTCTTCCTTCGTCTTTTGTTCTTTCTCCCTTCTCCGGTCTCTCGTTTCCTCCTTCCTCCTTGCTTCCTATAGTCTATTTTTTGTGCGTTCCCTTTCTCTTCCTCCTTCTCCTCCCTGCTTTATCTATCCATTCTCTCACCAATTTTATTCTCCCTTCATTCTCCTATCCCAGCCATTGTCTTCTTCCTCTGTGTGTCTTCCCCTTCCCTTTTCCTTTTCTCCTCCCTTTATCTTTCCCCTCCTTTCTCTTCTTCCTCCCTTTATCTCCCCCCTCCTTTCTCTTCTTCCTCCCTTTATCTTTCCCCTCTGCTTCTCTCTTCCCCCCTCCAATCCTCTTCTCCCCCTTTCTTATCCCCTTCCATTTCTCTTCTCCCTCCGTTTCTCTTCTTCCTCCATTTCTCTTCTCCTCCGTTACTCTTTCTCTTCCCTCTCTCTTTCCTCTCTTTCTCCTTTCGTTTTTCCTGGCCGATCTCATTGACCTGTTTAATGCATCAGTACTTTTTATTGGACTGTTACGGGATAGACTCGTCAGGAAGGGTAGTTTATGTAGGATTTATGACAGGACGGGTAGTTTATGTAGGATTTATGACAGGACGGGTAGTTTATGGTGGGATTTGGCGTGACGGGTAGTTTATGGGATTTATGACAGGACGGGTAGTTTATGACAGTGGAAGGATTTATGACAGGAATGGTTTATGTGTGATTTATGACAGGAAGGATGGTTTATGTAGGTTATGACGGGACGGGATGTGTTTATGGTGGGATTTATGACAGGAAGGGTGGTTTATGTAGGATTTATGACGGGAAGGGATGGTTTATGTAGGATTTATGATAGGAAGGGATGGTTTATGTGGGATTTACTTGACGGGAAGGGATGGTTTATGCGGGATTTATGACAGGAAGGGATGGTTTTATGTGGGATTTATGATGACAGGAAGGGTAGTTTATGTGGATTTGATGACAGGAAGGGATGGTTTATGCGGGGATTTAAGACAGGAAGGGATGGTTTAGGTGGGATTTACGGATAGGAAGGGTAGTTTTATGTAGGATTTGTGACAGGAAGGGATGGTTTATGTGGGATTTATGACAGGAAGGGATAGTTTTGTGGGATCTTGATGATGCAGGGATAGAAGGGTAGTTTATGTAAGATTTATGACAGTGCGATGGTTGGTGGGATTTATGATAGGAAGGGTAGCCTTGGAAGGGAAGCGGGATGGTTTATGCGGGATTTAAGGGAAGGGATGGTTTATGTGCGGGATTTCTTGATAGTAGCGGTAGTTTATGTAGATTTATGACAGGAATGGTTATGCGGGATTTATGACAGGAAGGGATGGCTTTGTGGGATGATTATGATTTATGACAGGAAGGGATGGTTTATGGGATTTATGACAGGAAGGGTGGTTTTGCAGGATTTATGACAGGAAGGGATGGTTTAAGTGGGATCTATGACAGGAAGGGATGGCTTTATGTGGGATTTATGATAGGAAGGGTAGTTTATGTGGGATTTATGACAGGAAGGGATGGTTTATGGGATTTAAGACAGGAAGGGATGGTTTTATGCGGGATTTATGATAGGAAGGGAGTGGTTATGTGGATTTATGACGGGAAGGGATGGTTTTATGTGGATTTATGATGATGTGGGATTTATGATAGGAAGGGTAGTTTTATGTAGGATTTATGAGGAATTTATGACAGGAAGGGGTAGTTTTTGTCAGGAATGGGATGGTTTAAGTGGGGATCTATGACAGGAAGGGATGGTTTATGGGATTTATGGGAAGGGTTTTTGTGGATTTATGACAGGAAGGGTAGTTTTTGTAGGATTTATGACAGGAAGGGATGGTTTATGTGGGATCTACAGGGAAGGGATGGTTTGCGGGATCTTAAGTGACAAGGATGGTTTATGTGGAAGGATGGTTTATGTGGGATTTATAGACAGGAAGGGGATGGTTTATGGGATTTATGATGGTAGGGGATGGTTTATGTAGATTTACACAGAAGGAATGGTTTATGTGGGATTTATGACAGGAAGGGATGGTTTATGTGGGATTTATGACAGGAAGGGATGGTTTATGTGGGATTTATGACAGGAAAGGGATGGTTTATGTAGGATTTATGACGGGAAGGAATGGTTTATGTGGGATTTATGACAGGAAGGGATGGTTTATGTGTGATTTATGACAGGAAGGGATGGTTTATGTAGGATTTATGACAGGAAGGGATGGTTCATGTGGGATTTATGACAGGAAGGGATGGTTTAGGTGGGATCTATGACAGGAAGGGATGGTTTATGTAGGATTTATGATAGGACGGGTAGTTTATGTGGGATTTATGACAAGAAAAGATGGTTGTATTGATTTCTGACAGAAGGGCTAGTTTTGTTAGGATTTATGACGAAGGATGGTTTATGTGGGATTTATGAAGGATGGTTTTAGGTGGGATCTATGACAGAAGGATGGTTTTGTGGGATTTCTTGGGAAGAATTGTCTTGTGTAGGGTTTTATTACAGTAATGATGAACCAAATATAAAAACTCACACCATTGGAAGGATAACTCACCGTGAGACAGATGACTAGTACAAGACTGGTACACTGCACTCTGAGGCAGCTCCAGTAGCGAGTTCCTTGAGGCATTGTGGTACTGGTGAGCTTTGCCGGGGGACGAACTCTGAGAACGACGAGCCCTACAGGTCACCACGCCCGCTACCACCACTGCTACGCCCACCACCACGCCCACAACTACGCCAGAGACGACCACACTCACGGGCGTACCTCCGTTGTTGCGTGGAGACTCCGTGGGTGGCGGGGTTTCCTCGCTCGGAGTTTTCACTGCTTGAGGAAGAGACGAGATATTTTTGTCTCTCAGTCTGAGGTTCTTGTGTTTATCTCTCTCTCTCTCTCTCTCTCTCTCTCTCTCTCTCTCTCTCTCTCTCTCTCTCTTTCTCTCTCTCTCTCTCCTAGTTTATTTTAAAGTTTAAACCAATTATATTTTTATTTTATAAATTTTATTACACTACCTCTATCAGTTTTCTATTAATTTTGACGCTCATGTCTTTTAATGACTACCTGACGCACACACACACACACACACACACACACACACACACACACACACTCACAGTTGACGGACACCCTCTCAGGTGCCACCTGCTCCGCCTTGGGTGTGTGGGTCTTCATCAACAAGGTGGTCTGGTGGCCGCGGCCCTTGGCGTGGCTGGCGAACATGGCCAGCACGTAGTCTCGTCCTGGCGCCAGTGAGGTGAGGTTGAACCTGGGCTCTGTGTTGTTGTACGCCGCTACCACCACCGACCCCTCCCGCACCTGTAACACCTGTTGTTAGTGGCGCCTAGCACCTGTAACACCTGTTGTTAGTGGCGCCTAGCACCTGTAACACCTGTTGTTGTCAAGCTCTACCTTTGGTCAATATTGAATCTATATCTCCCTTTCCCAATTCCATCTCACACACCTGTAACTCATTGTATCTGTAACTACTGTACCTGTAACCCTTATACCTGTAACCTGTATACCTGTAACTCCCTGCACCTGTAACCCATGTTCCTATAACCCATACACCTATAACCCATACACCTATAACCCATACACCTATAACCCATAAACCTATAACCCATACACCTATAACCCATACACCTATAACCCATACACCTATAACCCATGTTCCTATAACCCATACACCTATAACCCATACACCTATAACCCATACACCTATAACCCATACACCTATAACCCATAAACCTATAACCCATACATCTATAACCCATACACCTATAACCCATACACCTATAACCCATACACCTATAACCCATACACCTATAACCCATACACCTATAACCCATAAACCTATAACCCATACATCTATAACCCATACACCTATAACCCCATATACACCTATAACCCATACACCTGCTCCATACACCCATAACCCATGCACCTACTCTTAGCACCTATAGCCATACACCTCTCTTATACACCTATAACCCATACACCTATAACCCATACACCTATAACCCATACACCTATAACCCATACACCTATAACTTATACACCTATAACCCATGCACATATAACCCATACACCTGTAACCCATGCGCCTATAACCCACATGCACACACCTATAACCCCATACCTATAACCCATACATCACTCTTATACACCTATAACCCATACACCTATAACCCATACACCTATAGCCTTACACCTATAACCCATACACCTATAGCCCATACACCTATAATATACACCTACTCTGACCCATAAACCTATAACCCATACACCTATAACCCATACACCCATAACCCATACACCTATAACCCATACACCTATAACCCACATACACCTATAACCCATGCACCTATAGCCAACTACACCTATAGCCATACACCTATAACCCCATGCCTATAGCCCATGCACCCTATAACCCATACACCTATAACCCATGCACCTATAACCCATACACCTATCAACCCATGCACCCATAACCCATGCACCTATAACCCATACCTATAACCCATGCACCTATAACCCATACACCTATAACCCATGCACCCTATAACCCATGCACCTATGACCCATACCTATAACCCATGCACCTATAACCCATACACCTATAGCCCATACACCCATAGCCCATACACCTAGCCCATACACCTATAACCCATAGGCCTATAGCCCATACACCTATAGCCCATGCCTATAGCCCTATAGCCATACATCTATAACCCATACCTATAGCCCATGCACCCACCTTAACCCATGCACCTATAACCCATACATCTATGATCCATACACCTATAACCCATACACCTATAACCCATAAACCTATAACCTATAACCCTATAACCCATACATCTATAACTCATAAACCTATAACCCATACACCTATAACCCATACACCTATAACCCATAAACCTATAACCCTATAACCCATACATCTATAACCCATACATCTATAACTCATAAACCTATAACCCATACACCTATAACCCATAAACCTATAACCTATAACCATATAACCCATACATCTATAACCCATACACCTATAACCCATACACCTATAACAACCACTCCGTCTTGTTCACCTGGCTTCAATAACACTAAGTGCCCGTAATTGGTACCTCAACAAACTGTGTGGTTAATGATCTGGAAATTTAATCTTTTTCAGGGATGAGCCACAGAGAGAGATGGTCTACCACTGTTCTATCTACCTGTTGGAGATATTAAGCCTCACTTGAAGATTAACACCCCCCCCTAGTTAATTACTCTTTAAGGTTAATTTTCCTGATGTTATGTTAATCAAATTTAATGTTACTTTATCAATAATTTATCTAATCTAACTCTACATATTACGTACCTTAACCTAACCTAACCTATCCTAACCTAACCTAACCAATAATAAACAAACAATGGATAATCAGTACCAAAACAACAAAATATCCAATAACAATGGATATTTATAACACACTTGTTAATCCTAGGAGAAAAAAAAAATCACTGGGACACACCTCAATATGATAGGTCTGTTTGAGTTGACTCGTGGTGACGTCAGGAGAACACGTGACACCAGCAGAGTCTGTAGTGACGTCGTGGTAGAAACAGCCAATCAACTCACTCGGTTCATCTGGTAAAGAGGAAGAGAAAATATTGATGTGTGACCATATAAGTGTGTGTGTGTGTGTGTGTGTGTGTGTGTGTGTGTGTGTGTATGTGTGTGTGTGTGTGTGTGTGTGGATCTTCGAACAGCTTTGAGGAAGGAAACACATACATATAGCATAAATTATTACAGGTTAGGTTAGGTTAGGTTAGGTTAGGTTAGGTTAGGTTAGGTTAGGTTAGGTTAGGTTAACTTCAACTAAGATCTCAATCCAACATTTCCTTTCCCAGGGATGCTTAAAGCCCTCAGGGACTCGGAATTGGAAGCTTGGCGCGATTACTGATACGCCAGCTTGCCATCGTTAACGCCAGGCCATTGGATCTTGTGTATAAAGCTGAGGCAGGAGTAGGATACCAGCCCATAACTACGATAACATCATTCCACGGAAATTGCTCTTGTAAAGGATGATTGTTTGGAGGGACAAAAAAAATGGAGGCGGTGTGAAGAAAATTGAACCAAACCTTTTATTTTCCTCTCTCAGTATTTATCCATTTATAAGCTTGTGAGTTATGAGTTGTGTGAGTCGGATAATTTCACTATGTAGATATATAGATTGAGAATAATAGTGGAGAAGAAAGAAGGTTGAAAATTGTGTGCAAGAGAAGATAGTCAGTGTTTTATCTTAATATAACCTTGACCTAGCATGTATCTCTCTATTGTGTATATCAGTTTATTTCAGTCTGTCTCTTATCTGAATTGTGTTTCTTTATCTCGCATCATATCTTTATCTAATCATTCGTCTATGTCATCTATAAGGTTTTCAGAATCTGCCCAAAGATTATTTTATATTAGCGTGTGTGGTTGAGTTTAGTTAGTTATGATAAAGTGATGTGGTTGGGTGGTTATAACGCTCGACTGTCAGCACTTACCGACGAGGAGGATGGTGAAGAGGCAAGGTCTGTCAGCTGGCCCCACCTCGTTGCTGGGCTGACACTCGGCCCGTTGAGTCCCGCTGGTAGTGTTGTCAGCCACGGCCCAACCAACGGACGTCAACCCTTCGTCTCCGTGGTGTAGTGGCGACCGTATCTGTGTTGGTGAGTCGTCTATGTCACTATTACTATGCCACGTTTATTCACTATAATATGACCAGTATCTTCACCATTACTATCACCATAACCATCGCTATATTATTTCCCTAGATTATTGTATCACCATCACTATACCAGCTTACCCCATCATCACCATCAACCTCACTAAACATCCCTTATCGTCACTCTATCATCTCCCCTCATCACCACCTTCCCTCCTCCTCCTCCTTCTCCCCCTCCTCCTCCTGCCCTCACCTACAGGTTCAACAGGTAGGGATAACTCACCTGGTCCATGTTGGAGGTGTAGGTGACACTCTCCCAGGTGTAGGTGACTTGTGGGGGAGAGGCTCTCACACGACACTCTATCTCCACCTTCTCCCCCACCACCGCCAACACCTCCCTCGCTCCTTCCCACTCACACACCGGGGCATCTGTGTGAGGGAGAGACGAACACCGTAATTAGTAGAGAGAGAGAGAGGGAGAGAGAGAGAGAGGTGGCAGTAATAATACATTAATAATAATAATAATAATAATAATAATAATAATAATAATAATAATAATAATAATAATAATAATAATAATAATAATAATAATAATAATAATAATCAATACTTCATCCACATCAAAAATATATTTACTACACAAAACTCACCTCAAAATATCGCAAAATCCCATAAGAAAAATAATATAAACTAAATTCCCATTGCCAGAGAGTAAACACCCGTCTGAATGTATGTCGCAAGTCTCTTTGAGAAGAAGAAGAAGAACTCGAGATATACTTTCTTTCTCTCTTCTCAGTGGTAGGAGTGAAAGCGTTTAGAAAGTTATCAATAGCGTGAAAGGGGAATATATTTAAGCACACGTACACATGAGAAAGTCTGGTGTGTGTGTGTGTGTGTGTGTGTGTGTGTGTGTGTGTGTGTGTGTGTGTGTGTGTGTGTGTTCCTTGAGAGAGCATCTTGTTAATGGTGACACTGAGAGAGTAAAATCTTTGAGGTGTGAGGGAGTTCTTTAAGACTTTGTTGGGTTCTTTAAGACTTTGTTGGGTTCTTTAAGACTTTGTTGGGTTCTTTAAGACCTTGTTGAATTCTTAAGACTTTATTAAATTCTTAAGACTTCATTGAATTCTAAAGACTTTGTCGGGTTGTGTAAGACTTTGTTGAATTCTCAAGACTTTGTAGTATAAAGGCGTAGTTTAAAACTGTGTTAACTTCTTGAGATTCTGTTTGTGGTTAGAGGAATTAATTCTATGGTAGGATAAAGTTATAGGATAGAAAGACCACAGAAAAAAAATATCCCAGGGATGAAAACCACAGCTAGGATATACGTCAGCCATCGTCAGCCACCGTCAGCGGTACTCTAGTCAATATACCGTCAGCCACCGTCAGCAGGTACTCACAGTCAATATACCGTCAGCCACCGTCAGCAGGTACCACAGTCAATATACCATCAGCCACCGTCAGCAGGTACTCACAGTCAATATACCGTCAGCCACCGTCAGCGGTACTCACAGTCAATATACCATCAGCCACCGTCAGCAGGTACTCACAGTCAATATACCGTCAGCCACCGTCGCAGGTACTCACAGTCAATATACCGTCAGCCACCGTCAGCAGGTACTCACAGTCAATATACCGTCAGCCATCGTCAGCAGGTACTCACAGTCAATATACCATCAGCCACCGTCAGCAGGTACTCGCAGTCAATATACCGTCACCACCGTCAGCAGGTACTCGCAGTCAATATACCGTCAGCCACATCAGCCACCGTCAGCCACCGTCAGCAGGTACTCACAGTCAATATACCGTCAGCCACCGTCAGCAGGTACTCACAGTCAATATACCGTCAGCCATCGTCAGCAGGTACTCGCAGTCAATATACCGTCAGCCACCGTCAGCCACCGTCAGCCACCGTCAGCAGGTACTCACAGTCAATATACGTCAACCGTCAGCCACCGTCAGCAGTACTCACAGTCAATATACCGTCAGCCACCGTCAGCGGTACTCACAGTCAATATACCGTCAGCCACCGTCAAGGTACTCACAGTCAATATACCGTCAGCCATCGTCAGCAGGTACTCGCAGTCAATATACCGTCACCACCTCAGCCACCGTCAGCCACCGTCAGCAGGTACTCACAGTCAATATACCGTCAGCCACCGTCAGCAGGTACTCACAGTCAATATCCACACCCACAGACTCTCAATCCCCCACTCAGCGGTACCTCAATATACCCGACCGCAACCGTCAGCACCCAGCAGGTACTCTCAAATCACCGTCAGCCACCGTCAGCAGATACTCAGATCAATATACCGTCAGCCACCGTCAGCAGGTACTCACAGTCAATATACCGTCAGCCACCGTCAGCAGGTACTCACAGTCAATATACCGTCAGCCACCGTCAGCCACCGTCAGCAGGTACTCACAGTCAATATACCGTCAGCCATCGTCAGCAGGTACTCACAGTCAATATACCGTCAGCCACCGCACCGTCAGCAGGTACTCACAGTCAATATACCGTCAGCCACCGTCAGCAGGTACTCACAGTCAATATACCGTCAGCCACCGTCAGCAGGTACTCACAGTCAATATACCGTCAGCCACCGTCAGCCACCGTCAGCGTACTCACAGTCAATATACCGTCAGCCATCGTCAGCGGTACTCACAGTCAATATACCGTCAGCCACCGTCAGCAGGTACTCACAGTCAATATCCGTCAGCCACCGTCGCAGGTACTCACAGTCAATATACCGTCAGCCATCGTCAGCAGGTACTCGCAGTCAATATACCGTCAGCCACCGTCACCACCGTCAGCCACCGTCAGCAGGTACTCAGTCAATATACCGTCAGCCACCGTCAGCCACCGTCAGCAGTACTCACAGTCAATATACCGTCAGTCATCGTCAGCAGGTACTCACAGTCAATATACCGTCACACCGTCAGCCATCGTCAGCAGGTACTCACAGTCAATATACCGTCAGCCACCGTCAGCAGGTACTCACAGTCAATAAACCGTCAGCCACCGTCAGCAGGTACCCACAGTCAATATACCGTCAGCCACCGTCAGCAGGTACTCACAGTCAATATGTAGACCAACGGCGTTGCTCTGTCCATCACCCTCAGAGTTGGAGGCTAGGCAGGTGTACAGGCCTCCGTCCCTATAGTCCAGCTGCAGTAACGTGAGGGTAGGTTTACTCTCCACGATGTTAGCTCGATGTAGAGGACGACCCTGTGAGGTGAAGAGAAATGATGAAGTGGGACTCATATACAGTACTTTGCCTCGGTGTATAAGGAGGTAATGTGACCGGGATTACACTCAACCTCCCAAATAAACAAAGGTACCCATTCAAAACTGGGTCGACTGTAGACCCCCGTTGTGACCAGGGAACTTAGGGATGGGAAACGAGTGTTGTAACCAAATGGCTTCAAAGTAGAGAGTTCTAGTACATGGATATGAGCTGAGGTGTGTGTGTGTGTGTGTGTGTGTGTGTGTGTGTGTGTGTAATGGTTGACCTTGTGGATTAGATAAGCATGAAGCCAAAACAAACTCAGATTTCTTTTTTCTCCATTTCTGATTATCATGGAGCGTGCCACACTATCTGTCTGTCTGCCTGTCTGATTGTCTGTGTAGATTTATTCAACCGAGTATATTTGCCCTGGGAAGATCTGTTTATTTCTCTCGCGTGTGTGTGTGTTTGTAAGCCGATTACCTTCTGAAGGCAGATAGCTGTAGCTCTCACATTCTACTCATTAGTGTGAGAGTCGTAATGCGTCATCATAGGTCAGGGTCATGCTGGCAGCACCTGAAGAATAGGCACCCCAGCGTAGTTCACTTTAAGATTCACTACCTTAAGCTGACCTAAACTAAGCCAAGCCAACCTAACCTAATTTAACCCCCTAACTTGCCTAGGTGTGTTAATCAGTAAACCAATATATTACAGGTGTTCTACAACGTTAGGAACACTCACTCACCTCCTTCAAACTTCCTTTAATGTAATAAGGACTTTGGGACGGTGTATCTGAAAGCTCATTATTATTGTTGTTATGGTTGGTCAGAGGTCACGATAACAAGGTCAGAAGTCAGGGTAATATGGTCAGATTTAATCAAGTCAGGGGTCAGGATAACAAGGTCAAAGGTCACTATAACAAGGTACCGTTTTTGAGATATTAGCTAAAACTTTTCTATGATTCGGTTACGTCGATTTTTTCTTCTATTGGCTGGAGGCGACGACCATCCTCCCCTTACTCCCTTGATGTGTTTTTTATACTTTTTTACCTGTTTATACAAGATGAAGATGGGACTATTAATATATATATATATATGGATGTAACGTCATACCTACGAGCGCGGGCGCGTTTGTGTGTAATTCTCTTATAACATTCTAGTAGAGGCGCTTCTGTGATGGCACTACTGTGATGGCTCTCCTCTGTCCTACTGATGGCGCTCTGAACACGTTTTGATGGCTCTCTATAATGGCACTCCTCTGATACTGTATGGCGCCTATGATGATATTCCTGAATGGTACTCTATAATGGCACTACGGTGATGGCTCTTCTATGATACTCCTGTGATGGTACTCTATAATGGCACTCATCTGATGGCACTACGGTGATGGCTCTTCTATGATGGCACTTCTGTGATGGCTCTCTATAATGGCACTCCTCTGATGGCTCTACTGTGATGGCGCCCTATGATGGCACTTCTGTGATGGCTCTCTATAATGGCACTCCTCTGATGGCTCTACTGTGATGGCGCCCTATGATGGCACTTCTGTGATGGCTCTCTATAATGGCACTCCTTTGATGGCACTACGGTGATGGCTCTTCTATGATGACACTTCTGTGATGGCTCTCTATAATGGCACTCCTTTGATGGCACTACGGTGATGGCTCTTCTATGATGGCACTTCTGTGATGGCTCTCTATAATGGCACTCCTCTGATGGCTCTACTGTGATGGCGCCTATGATGCACTTCGTGTGGCTCTCATAATGGCACTCCTCTGATGGCTCTACTGTGATGGCGCCTATGATGGCACTTCTGTGATGGCTCTCTATAATGGCACTCTCTGTGGCACTACGGTGATGGCTCTTCTATGATGGTACTCCTGTGATGGTACTCTATAATGGCACTCCTTTGATGGCACTACGGTGATGGCTCTTCTATGATGGTACTCTGTGATGGTACTCTATAATGGCACTCCTTTGATGGTACTACGGTGATGGCTCTTCTATGATGGCACTTCTGTGATGGTACTCTATAATGGCACTCCTTTGATGGTACTCCTGTGATGACGCTTCTGTCAGCCTCTGAAGGGTAAAACTTTTCCCCCAAATGATGGCCTTTTCCCTTAACCGGGGGAGCCCTTAAGGGTACTTGACGGCAACACGGCCAGATTATGACAACCAAAACTCCTTTACCTTTTCAGACGTGGCGAAAGTATAAGAGTTATATATATATATTTTCAACGGGTCACCTGAAGATTAGGAACCCTAGTTCATTTCACTTGAGGATTAAACACCTAAAGGTCGAGTTAGGTTTGGTTAGGTTAGGTTTGGTTAGGTTAGGTTAGGTTAGGTTAGGTTAGGTTAGGTTAGGTTAGGTTAGGTTAGGTTAGGTTAGTATTAGGGTGTTTATTTTTTGCTATGGCTCTCTCTCTCTCTCTCTCTCTCCCTATCTATCTGTCTCTCTTTTTCTCATTATCAATTGTATCTCTCAGTATTTTCTTTTTCTCTCTCACACTCTCTCTCTCTCTCTCACTTCCTGCTGACCTGAACTAACTCCCAGCAGCCGAGTTGGGTTTTTTTTTATCAAATGCCTCCATTGACGTCATCATCGAGACGAAACACCAATGCATTATTTAGACAAGAGTTCCATAACAAATTATTTGGATCTATTTACGTCGTGTTAACTTCCTTCTTGTTGGGTATTATAGGTATATTTTGGGGTCTGTCTGTCTGTCTGTCTGTCTGTCTGTCTGTCTATCTGTCTGTCTGTCTGTCTGTATGCCTGTCTGTCTGTCTCTTTATCCGTGTTTATATCTGTCTGTCTATTTTTCTTTGTCTGTCTGTCTGTCTGTCTGTGTGTCTGTGTGTATGTGTGTCTGTCTCTTTATCCGTGTTTATATCTGTCTGTCTATTTTTCTTTGTCTGTCTGTCTGTCTGTCTGTGTGTCTGTGTGTATGTGTGTCTGTCTGTCTCTTTAATCGTGTTTATAATACTGTCTGTTTTGTTTTTCTTTGTCTGTCTGTCTGTCTGTCTGTCTGTCTGTCTGTCTGTCCTGTATGCCTGTCTGTCTGTCTCTGTCTGTCTCCTGCTATCCGTGTTTATATCTGTCTGTCTATTTTTCTTTGTCTATCTGTCTGTCTGTCTGTGTGTATGTGTGTGTGTCTGTCTGTCTGTCTGTCTGTCTGTCTGTCTGTCTGTCTGTCAGGATCTCGGCTTCTTCCTCAACAATTGTGCTGGAACTATTTTTAGTTACGTGTAATCAATATGTTAAAGATCAGAGGGTCAGGCATCTCTCTCTCTCTCTCTCTCTCTCTCTCTCTCTCTCTCTCTCTCTCTCTCTCTCTCTCTCTCTCTCTCTCTCTCTCGCTCTCACTCTCTTCATCTATCAATCTATCTGTGTAATAATTTCTCTATGTATGTATGTACAGGTATGTATGTATGTATGTATGTATGTATGTATGTATGTATGTATGTATGTATGTATGTATGTATGTATGAAGGCCACCCCTCACACCACCTCTACCACCACCACACAACACCTCTACCACCACCACACCTTTTTCTACTACCACACAACACCTCTACCACCACCACACAACACCCCTACCACCACCACACAACACCTCTACCACCACCACACAACACCTCTACCACTTCTAAGGCAATGTTACAATACCTCACTAATATCCCTCATATCACACCTTCCCTCCACCACAAATCACAAGCAATAACCATCTGCAATCCCCTGAAAGCACCGTAATGTTATATAACCTATCTAACTCTCTACGCAAGCACACTCTCTTCTTCAGTGCTTTCTAATGTTGTAATATAAAGAGAATGTATTACGTTTTATAAGCTGTCGTTTTTACTTCAAGCTGAACTCTTTCTACCTCGAGGGTTTGTCTGGTAAGGGAATTTAAGTGTTTTTGTAGGGGATTTTGTTTATATTATGTGGTAAAGTTTGAAGGTTGTGTGCGTGTGTGTGTGTGTGTGTGTGTGTGTGTGTGTGTGTGTGTGTGTGTGTGTGTGTGTGTGTGTGTGTGTGTTTAAACTGGAATTAGTAAGTGACGTGGTTCTAGTCATGAGGGATTTTTCTTCCTTCATTCTTGCTCTTTTCTCTCTCTTTCGCTCTCTTGTTTTTCCTTCTTTCTCTTCAACACATCTTTCTCTAACTCTGTATATTTAACCTCTCTCTTTTTGTCACTTTTTTCCTTTTATCTCCTTCACATCTATTTTTCTCTATCTCTCATTTTTTTTTCTCTCTCTCTCTCTCTCTTCTCATCCACATCCTCCCCGCCTTATTGATCTAGGTCAGGCCAGCGTAAGGACCCGGAAATTAGGCAAATGTCAGGCCAAGGTGAGAGAGTCAGACTAGTGAAATATTTAGCTTGAGTTGACTGAGAGCTCGGTGTAAACCCCCACCCACCCCTCCCTTACCTCCCTCATCCCCCCTCATCCACCTTCCTCCCTCCCCTTCTTCCCTCCTTATCTCCTTCTCCTCCCTCCCCTTCTTCCCTCCTTATCTCCTTCTCCCCCCTTCTCCTCCCTCCACCACCTATCTTCTGCCTGACGGTGCTGAGACATCAACTATTTCTCAGTCTGACTTCATGATATTTTTCTATGACATCAGTTATTATTTTCTAGTCTGACCTGAGGTAATATTTGTCTCGCTAATTAGAAGAAAATAAATATTACTTTCCCGTCATAAGTTTCATTTCTCATTGGTTGTGAAAAATAAAGATACTAGAGAACTGGAAGAGAAGAAATAGAGAATGAAAGAGAGAGAAAGGAAAAGAGGGAGGTGGCAAGGGAGAGAAGGATGGAAGGAGGGAGAAAGCAAGGGAGGTTTAGTTGATGAGGGAGAAAACAATACCTAAGACCAAGACACTGAGAATGTTATTTAGTCTCCTGGATGTGAGAGGGGGAGGTGGGCTAGGGAGTGTGGGGGTGTGGGAGTGGGCCTTGGAGAGGGGTGGGCGTGGGTGGGTGGGGGAGAGGAGGAG